TTGTGAATACAAGCCAAAATTCAATATTGTTCAATTTAGGAACTTCTCCAATGGATCCTGTTTTCCTGGTAGAAATTTTTTGAATGTAGTGGTCTCATGATACATGGATTATTTTTAACAAAAGGAGCAATAGTTCATCCAAGTACCTTTGACTCTAGAGGGAAATAACACTTTTAGGTGGAAACCTGCAATATACTTGGACATCTGCAAAATGACTGAAATTAGCATAGTTTACACAGTACACAACTTCATTAGAATTTTGAGGCCTTGGAAAGGAACAGATGGTAGTAAATTTCTAAGGGAAAATTTCCAGAGGTTGTGAAGGCCTGAAACAAAATCAACCCAATGTAAGAGGTGTGCAGTGAATGACAGAAAGGACAAAATAACAGAGTGCATCAAGGGACAAATGTGTTGCTTCTTTTTCAAAAAGGAAACCAAACAAACAAACAGAGACCTGACTGTCATTACCACTTTTGTGTATAAGCACTCTCTATATACTAAGGAACATTGATGACAGTGTCTGTTCTGCTTGTTGAAAGATGATGTAAAATAAGTCAAGTGGGTTAAGCTGCCACCTGTGATGTCAGTATCCCATATGGGTGCTGGTTCAAGCCCCAGATGTGCCACTTCTGATCCAGCTCCCTGTTAATGTGTCTGTGAAAGCAGAGGAGGATGGCCCAAGTCCTTGGGCCCCTGCACCCATGTGGGAGAATTGGAAGAAGCTCCTGGCTCTTGGCTTCAGACTGGCTCAGCCCTGGTTTTGGCCATTTAAGGAATGAACCAGCAGATGGAAGATACCTCTCTCTCTCTCTCTCTCTCTCTCTCTCTCTCTCTCTCTCCTTCCCTCCCCCCCTCCCTCCGCTCTGTAACTCTGCCTTTCAAATAAATAAATCTGAAAAAAAAAAAAAACAATAAGTCTATTCATTCAATACCTTTGACCATAGTTTCCCCCATAGAAATATGTGTATGAAAGCAGAGGAGGAAAATCAAGAAAAGAGAGAAACTAACATTGCGAACAAGGGAAGACAGAGAAAAATATGGGATGGAAAACAAAAAAGATGGGAGTTAGTGGGCTACAAAAGGAAGAAAATCATGCAAGCTTCTTGACTTTTATGGTGTAGCACTTATGAGTATATAGGTCCTGAAGTTCCCAGACTATGCTACTGTTACCTACTAAAAGATAGTTTACTTTGCTGGAGAACCCAAGACTTGCCCAGACATTGTGCCAATGTACATAAAAAGAAATGGGGCTGTCCTGTAAGTGTTGACAGGGGCAGCTCACAATTGAATCAGTGAGCAAAGAGCAACACTACCAGAACAGCAGATTTGCTAGAGCTCTCAATTTCCATGGGCAACAGTAGAACTTAGGAAAGTGATTCAACACACTTTCATGACAAGTAACTCCTATCGTGTTTTCTTTCTGTCTTGTGAACTCTATAATTTGATTCTTATCCTACTGAGAAGACATTATGGATTTAATAATACTTAGTACATATCCGTATTTTCATTAAAGCTAGATATATCCTTCTGTTGTATTTCCAGGTTGATACTAGCAAACACAATTCCCTCTTCAAGATAATTAAATTCAGCCATGGAGATACTTAACCTTTTAAATAGCCTTTGTCTTATTGTTGATAGTCACTGCATTTTGAAAAATTGAAAGAAACACATGATTATTACTGAAAGATAAGACTTCAAACACATAAAATTATACTATAAAAGGAGAAGGAGAAATGAATTCAGACAGAAGTATTCAGACCAGCTGGATGGATAGTAAACAAGGGAGTGAGGTTGGAAAGAGCCCCTGGGATCCTTCTGAAAACCTTGAACAAATGTTGAAAATTTGTATCCCTCCTTTCTTACTGATTCGAACACCTGGTCCATATTTCTTCATTGCTGGCTCCAGATAAGAAGGAAGATGTAATAGAAATTAGAAGCACTGGTTGGAGATATAGGCTGATACTAGATGGTTGTGAAAACTTTAGAGACTCACTCTACCTCCCTAAATTCTGCTTTTCCATCCATAAACTGGAGACACTGGGCTGTTTGATACTGCTCTCTCTCTTCCCATTGTTATGTGCTGTGATTTATTTAAAATATCAATTTCTCGAAGCCCATTTTTTATTATATACACAAATGAGGAAAAAGCCTACCTTACAAGGTGACCTTAAGGATTAAAAGATAGTAATCAAATATCTCTCTTTTCAAATCCGTATGGTTTCTAAATTTGGTTTACAAGCATTTATAGAGTGAGTTCAGACAGTAAGGAATATAACCTTTTTGGATCCATTTGAGGTTGGTATTTAAGATAGAATGAATTTTGGTTAGTGAGAATTTTAAGTTTTTAGTTTCTGAATATCTATGAAAACATCTTACACACAGGCACAACTCGATAACAATTTATTCTCCCTGACTTTGAGAACATAGACAAACTTGCTCAGCTTTGCAGCTCTGGCTTCTAACAGTATCTAACCTTCAAGAGATGCCAGGGGATGTTTGTGGCACTAGGAAAAACCACTGAGCTTTGCTGATTTTTGTCTATAAAATGTACTCAACATATCTATTCCCCACAGGGTTAATTTAAAGACTAGTCAAAGATAATTTTCAAAAAGATGCAATAACTACTCTCATACAGATATAAAATAAGCAGGTGTTAAAGGTTTTTCAAAACAAATTTATCAATGAGAAACCCAGGAGGGTTAAAACTAATTCAAAGGAAAATCAAAATGACGATACATTTATAGATGAAGAATATTGAAGTGCATGTGTAAATAACTTCTTCCACAGTGGGGAAGGAAGTCAATTGAACCGCTACTGGGCAGGAGAAAATTTGTTTATCTACAGAGGAAAATTATTTTGCATCCCTGTCATTATTTACAAACTACAGAATTGCAAGTCCTATAGAATTCTTCCATAGAATCAGAATGAGATAATCAAAATGGCATGCTAAATACAATGAATACTTATCCAGTAGAGCACCAATTTTTACATGAATAAATTGTATAATGAATGGAGATAACAAAACTGGGACCTATTATGTAGTAGGCCCCCAATCGATGGTTTTCTTATTGAATTATAACAATGACATGATGGCAGTCGTAGCCTGAGTATCTTGTAGACCTATGATGAATTGACTTAGAATTGGAGCTTGGTACATTTAACAAGTCTTGGTTGGCTGCAAGTAAACAAGTAAGCATTTCCTAAGAGGAAGGATTATTCTTGTTTAGGAGGCACAAGAAAATTTTGTTATTTCCTGGAGCAAGAAGGGATCAAGGGGTACTTTGTTTTGTCATCATGATCATCTAGGGTCAGGCAGAGAGGAATCCCAGGCTGTTGATTTCTTAAAAACTGCCTGATATGAGCTACAAGGGAGTGTTAAATAAGTAACACAGTTTAGATGCAAATGAAATGCTGTTGTTGAACTTAGTTAAAGCAATCTGTGAAGGAGGCAGGCTTTTGGCCTAGCAGCTAAGATTCTTACATCTCACATTGGAGTACCTGTTTTCAATGATCAACTGACTCTAGCTCCTGATGCCAGCTCTGGGCCAATGTAGACTCTGACAGCCAGTGGTGCTAGTTCAAGGATTTGGGTCCCAACCAAGGGTCCCCACCACCCTTGTTGTTCTGCATTGAGTTCTGTGCTCTGGCCTTTGGGCTTGGCTCACTTGGGGCTGTAATGGGTGTATGAGGAGCGAGCAAGTAGGTAGGAGCTCTTTCTGTCTCCTTACCTGTCAAATAAAAAAGGCCTCTGAATCCAAAATAGATATGTGGACATTTTAAAGTCAAAACAAATGAAATAAAGGAAAGAAAAAGTATGTGGTGTCAAAGAACAAAATTTCAATGAATAGTTTGAAGATCTAACTAATTTTTGTTAGTGATTCATAAATTAAGCAATCTCCCAATCTATAAAAGGAGAAAAGTGCTCCTTAAGCATGGTGAATCAGTTTTTCTAAGGTAGTTTGAGTGGAAACAGCATAATACAAAATATAAAAAAAAATGCATTGGTCAACATTAGTTTATTCAGGTTACTTTCCTTATAAGGATTTAAATAGGCACAGTGTCCTACCATGCCAACTTAGAGCTTATTAGAATAATTACTGTGAGTTTCCTGTTTCCTTTGGGGAAAAAAAAAAAAAACTGACTTGTTTAAAAATGGTCCTGCTCATAAAATTTCAGTTTGATGACATTGCACTTGTCAGGATTGACGCCATTTCAGTCTGTTTTATTGAGGTCTAGGGCAGGAACTTAGTCCAAAGCAATGACTTTCCTCAAATTTTATTTAATAGTGATTAAGCAATTTGATCATAATTTTGATATAATATGACATGAAATTTATTATCAATCTTTGCTTGGAATTTTCCATAGCCTAATGCCCAAATAATTATTTTCTTTCATCTGAGGCAAGAATCCATGTATAAAATATTTTGAAATTTTTATAGAAATAGAGCCATATTCTATGCTCATGTTCCCCATTTGGGTGAGGAAAGTGTTGTAGCCATGGATTCAGTTGAACTGGTCTTAACATCTGATTTTCCGTACTTCAGAGTATTTCCTCTATGATTATAACATGAGGCTAATAAGAACACCTGCCAGCTAGGTGGTTACTAGTTGTTTACAAAGGTGATTATGCTGATCGAATACAATAGTATATGTAAACCAGTCCAGCCCCACTCCAAGGTAACTTCTCAGGTGTTAAATTCCTTTTCTCATTCTCAGGGCAGGTAATAACTAACAAAATGTAATCAATCCTATTATATTGACTCTCTAAGTGATAAGCAGGTATTGAGCCCTTACCATTCACCTGGATTTTACTATAAGTAATTGTAGGTACAAATCCACCATAACGTGAAGTGAAATACAGTCTTTGAAGAAAAATGTTTCATACCATAGCTTTCTATTTTACAAATAACAAGCATAGTCAATTTTGAAGTGGTATTAAAAATGAACCAAACTTTATTGAGCATTGTATAATCCTTATTATCTTATTCTACTTTATATAGGAGTTGCTGGAAGACCAGAAATAACTTATATAGGTTAACAATATGGAAACATCCTGAAACTATGTTGGAATCTCAATAAATTAACTGAATCCAAGATTCACAAACAGGGAGACTGGTCCATGGACAATTTGCTATAGGTAAGTGAGAAATATAATTTACTCTGCTAAAATCCTTCAAAGATTCATTGACTGGTTTATTAATTACATTTCAGATAATTACAATGTACCTTTGGTACAGCTGACAGCTTCTCTTCCCTCCCATACTACACATGTGGATGCCAGCATATGGCTAAATGTCTGGCCATTTCATTTTGCTCACTTGGGCTTCAGTCAGTTACTAAAGGAAGAAACAGGAGGAAAAAGGACTCACCTCATAAAACTTTTACTAGTAGTGATTTATGCATAAAGGCGAGAGTCAAACTGTTCTATGAACAGATGTTTCTGCATGCTGCCCCGGGAGTTGAAAGAGTGGCAGATTGGCCTGCCTAGGATTCAGAGTGAAATAGAAAGACAAATGGTGATGCTCTCCTCCTCTTTTGAAACTGGGGCAGTGGTTGGGTCATTAATATGAACAAAGCATTTGGGAAAGGTAGCTGGCTTTTTATTTTCTCTTTGAAAATCTGGTGAGTTTGGAAAGTTTGATGTGTGACAGCATGGAAATATTTGCTATTGGGATATTAGAAAAGTTGTATTTGAACAAACCAGCAGGAAAGAATGAAAGTCCGAGTGACTCAAAAACAAGCAGCGATTTGTGAGCTGGGGGCATGGGTTGTGGCATCCTCTATAGCCAAATGTGCCATCAAGACTGAAGGCAACTCAGGCCTAGAAATAGGAGCCACCCAGCTTGTGAAACAGAAACAATCTGTTCATTCATCTGTGGGGTTTCACTCTGTTGACGAGGAAAAGAAAAAGATCAAATTGCAGTGACATTAAGCACCATTCATTGCAAGGGAGAAGTTTGTACTTGCCATTTTAACTGACAAATGCTTACTTGAATCATTCATGCTGTTTTACGGATAAGTAGAAATGTTGTGAATGAACCTGGAACCAAGGTAGGAAGAATTACTCATGTGTTTTCCTGTTAATATTTAGCTGTCTCTGGGTTGTGTGTATAACAGCTATCTGTCCTGCTTTCAGAACACAAGATGTCTTCCCAGAAGACAACCACTTTCTTCCACTCCATTGCATTCTGTAGATTAAGCTAAATAGAAGATATGCTAATTTATCTTCAGAGAGTCCATTTAGTTTGGAGAGTCACATAAGAGCATAGCCAGGGAGGTGTTGGCTGAGTGTGAAGTGCTCTGTAAAGATGAGAAGGGAGCAGTGGTAAGACAAAGAAAGATAAGGAACCAGCCACTCAAGAGCAACATGAACTTGAAGTGATTTTTTGTTTTGTTTTGTTTTAGCATATGTGATTCTCGCTTTTCTCTGCCTTTAAGCTTGGTCCTTCAGTTTATACCAATGGGAGTCTGTTGTTTCCATTTGATTATTTTGCTTATGGGGAAAAAAAAAAAGACTCACTGAAATGAGCAGATAAAAGGGAATTACTCTGGTGACACACATGAACTAGAACTGACACAGGCTTCAAAAACAAGAATAAACAAAAAGGTAGTTCTAGAAACTTCTTATTAGTGTGTACTATTCTCATGAGCAAAATGGGCTGTATCTTCTTCATAGAAGGTACTCCATGTCTCCTTGTATTTAAGAGTCCATTTTTTAAAAAAAATTCTTATTATTTTCCATAGTTTTTTATATTTGCTTCTCTCATAATTTTGCCTAAGACATAGCATTTCATGACCTCTTTAGAAACCTTTACTTTCATCAGATTCAACTTTTTTTACTAACTACTTGTGTCAGTCAGGTTATATTCAGGAAACCACACTAGATATCTCAGCAGATTAAATTACCCAAGAATTATTAGCCAGTTATTAGAGAATTGGAGAGGCAAAAAGTAGACAGTAATCACAAAGCCAGTAACTATAGGAAGTAACTGCCCTGGCTGCAGGGACAAAAGGTAAGACCTTAAGATTATTAGAATTTAAAATATTTGGGGAGGGGCTTTGCAGAACTGGAATTCAGGAGTCCTTGGAATAGGAACTTTGGAAGCTCAGTGGGAAACTTTACAGAACTGGCATTCATAATTTTTAGGAGAAGGACCAGCTGATCATGGTCCCCCAGGAGTTCAGACTGGGAGCCCCACAGAGCTGAAACACTGCCAAAGTCATTGACTGAAGACCTGAAAGGGAATCACGTGTGTGGAAGGGGTACCATCCAGCTATGGCTGTTGCATTACTAGAGAGATGGACAGATACACTGTTACCAGGAATGTAGAACAAAAGATACAAAATGGAACCCACAGTTGTATGGGTGACCCTGTCAGAACCCAAAATAAATTTTCTCTTCCCCATCAACCTCCCAGTCTTGCTTAGCTCTTTATATTGACAGAAACATGGAGCCAAGTGACAAAGAAGTGTAATTAGCAGGGAGCCAACCCCACCATCTCAAAACAAAAGTGAGGAGGGCAAATTTGAGCTGACAGATAGTAAGTTGATTGAGACCACTGTTTCTTGTGTTTTCATTTATGTTTAAAGATGTTGGTGTGACAGTGCATGTTTTAATTTTCTAAAGGGAGAATATAATTGTCTCAGTTCATCTGATTCCTGAGATCATAGATTTTTTAAAAAGACTTATTTATTTGTTTAAAAGACAAAGTTACAGATGGGGGTGGAGAGAAAGAGAGATGGATGGATGTTGGAACTATTGGTTCACTCTCCAAATGGCCACAGAAGCCAGGGCTTGGCCAAAGCCAGGAGTCAGGAGTCTCATCTGGATCTCACACATGGCCAAGGGGCCCAATCATTTGGACCTTCTGCAGCCTTCCTGGGTACATTGGCAGGGAGCAGGATAGGAAGTGGAGCAGCTGGAACCCGAACCACTCCATCACAGGTGGTATCTTAACCTACTGCACCATAACACCAGCCCAGAGACCATAGTTGAGAACTTAACTAATGATTGCCTGATGATTGGTCTACTGCTTTCCTGGCTGAATCAAGGAGTATCAGCAAGTTGATTACAAAGTAATACAATAGAAAATATGGACACTTTGTTAACAGGGATATGGACTGATACTTTTATGTATAGGTGTGATACTGTTAATGATCTGTTCTTTATTTTTAAAGATTTGTATTTCTTTATTTGAAAGCCAGAGTTACAGAGAAGCAGTGGCAGAGAGAAACAGGGGTGGAGGGTGAGAGAGATCTTCCATACACTGGTTCACTCCCCAGATGGCTACATTAGCCAGGGCTGAGCCAGGGAGAAGCCAGGGGCTAGGAGCTTCTTCCAGGTCTCCCACATGGGTGCAGGGGCCCAAGTACTTGGGCCATTTTCCACTGCTTTTCCAGGTGCATTAATAGGGAGTAGGATTGTTAGTGGAGCAGTCATGACTTGAACTAGCACCCATATGGAATGCTTGCACTGCAGGTGGCATCTTAGCCCACCATGTCACAGCTCCAGCCCCAATGATTGGCTCTTTAATTAAAGTTTTATTTTTAAATCATTGTACTTTCACATGTAGTTGTAAGAAACAACAAAGAAATCCCACATGTACCCTTACCCCTTTATATCTAATAGTATCCTGAAAAACTACATAGTAAAATAATATTGCCAAGATGTTTAAATTAATGTAGTAAAACTTTTGAACATTTCTGTCAACACCAAATTATCTCATACTGCCCTTCCATAGCCACATCACTTCATTCCTGTCTATAAAATCCTTCTAAGCATTGGCAACTTCTAATTTGTTCTCAGTTTCTATGATTCTGTAATGACAAGGATGTTATATAAATGAGATCATACAGTATGTATTTTTTCAGATCAGTTTTCATTCACCACACTTATCTGAAGTTTCACCCAGGTTATTGAGTACATCTTACATTCTTATACTTACATTTTTCTGCTGAGTAATAATATTCAATGGCAAGGATATTCCAAAATTTGTTTAATTGTATACTTCTTGGAGCATATGTTGGTTGTTTTCATTTGGAGGATGTTACCAAAAAGGTTTCTGTAAGAATTCATGTACAGATATTTCTGGGGATGTAAGTTTTATTTCTTGGGAAAAATACTCAGATTAAATTGCCAAAGAGTTTGAGAGAGTACTATGCCTTTTTACATTTTATTAGGAATGTGCAAGTCATCTAGTTTGTCAACATCTTTACCATCTTTTGGTGTTGCCACTATTTTTAGTTATTCTGATATGTGTTTAGAAATGTCTCATTATCATTGTGATTTTCATTTCCTCAATAAGATTTTTAGCATCTGTTTATGTGCTTGTTTGCCATACGTCATTTTCAGTATGAAACTTTCAGTAAAATGTCTGTTCATGTATCTTTCTAGCTTATAATTGGATTGTTTATCGTTTCACAATTGTATTTGGAGATGTGAAAAAATATATTGTTGACATTAGTCATCAACAGATAGGTTGTTTGCAAATATTTTCTCCCAGTCTGTAGCTTGATTTATTATCTTCTTAAGAAGCCTTTTATTCAGCAAAAGTTTTTAATTTTGATGAGGTCTAATTTATGACTTTTCCCTGTTATGGATCATGTTATTAGTATTCAACATAACAATTATGTGTCTTGTCCTGGACCCCACAAATTGTTTTCTATGCTTTTTTTCCCATAAAAATGTACACAAAAGCTTAGGTGTATGATCAATTTTGGGTTACATTTTGTGTAAGGTATGAAACTTTGGTCAAAGTTTATTTATTGCTATGGGTGTTCATTCATTTCTCTTGGCATTAGCATCTATTGAATGTCCTTTTCATTCCACTTAAAATCTTCATGATTCTTGGTATAAGTAACTTGAAACATTATTTTTAAACATTTTGGGTATTATGTTTTGAGACTCTGAATGACAGTTAAGACTTTAGGTTTAGTTTCTTCTGGTTTTGCTCCATCAAGAGAATTTGGAGTAAAAGTATGTAAGTTTAAAGTAGAAACCCATGTTCGTTACTGGGCCTCAGTTGACACAGGAGTGGACAAGGACTTCTCATTACTGCTTGGGATGGGCAGGAGTTTTTAGCTCCTGTGAGACTTCTACTGCTATCCCCCTTGTTGGGAGGGGTAGTAACACCTTGT